CCTGTCCTCCCGGGCCCACAGAGCGGGGGGGAGGAGGCTCCTGGCCTGGCGGGCGGGTTGTGGTGCCATGCCCTGCTTTGGTGGGGAGAGGTTAAACTTGAAATCACGGGTGTGTTAAACGTTCTGTTGTATTTTACAGGGTGTTTTTCTTTATCGGGGTATCGAGGGAGCAGCGATGGAAAGCCACCGAAATTCCAGCCGCCTCCGAAGCCCGTCATTATCGACAGGAAGACGAAGAAGGAGGAGAGCAGGTGAGGGTGTCCCGCTGCTCACCTGCCGTGCTCGGGCTCTCACTGTGTGAGCACTCACTTAAAGAATCAAGGAATTACTATAACAAAAAAGAAAAGAACAACACCGTTTGTAAAATTCTAGCAAAGACATTTGAGTTGGAATATGCTCAAAGCACCTTAAAATACTGTTTCTGAGTTTCTGAAAGCAATGAAACATGGGGAAAAAAAAACCATAGAGCAGTAAATACTTTTGCAGATTTGGGGTTAATGTGGGAGATCATGTCTGTTAAAGGCATGTCTTTGTGACAGTGACACAGGTCCTGTGTCTGCCTTTGCCTTGGACTTCAGTGCTGGTTGTGCATTGCTGGTTGTGACAGGGACCTGAGATCTCTGGTAGCCTTCATGAGATGTCTCATTCTGGGTACTTTTGATGTCACCTCAACCCATTTCATGGAATCACAGAAGGGTTTGGGTTGGAAGAGACCTAAAGATCATCTCATTCCAACCCCCCCTGCCATAGGCAGGGATACCTCCCACTAGAGCAGCTTGCTCCAAGTCCCATCCAGCCTGTTCATGAACACCTCCAGGATTGGGGCATCCACAACCTGCCTGGGTTTTAAACCCAATTTGCACAGCTTTAAATGACCCAGTGGTTTATAGTGCAGTGCTGTGTCTGGGGGAAAAGTGGTGGCACTGTATTATTCATCTGCCCCCTCCAAAACCTCACTTTGAAGATCATGAGGAGGTTTGGTGTTGTTTGCTGCCTGTGGGCAGCAGCACCAGCCAGAACCTCTGCTGCCCCCACAGCCCCATAAAGTTTGTAGGGCAGATTTGCATTTGTCCTCCTCTCTGTTGGGCACTTCTCTCCTGGCCAGATCCAGGACTTTTAAGATGCATCTGTACAACTGAATTGAGTTCACCTTCATCTGTCTGCTCTGAGGGCATGTGGTCTTGCCATCCAAACCAGAGTGAGCACATCCAAATATCTCTTGGAAATGGTTCTCACTCAATGTCAAGAAATATGCACTCAGCTGTGCAGTCAATAACTGAGGTTAATGGGGAAATTCTTCGGCATGGTTTAATTTTTTAGTAGCAAAAAATAGTTTTACCCGTCTGTTTAAGCTTCTGTAACACAAAAGGACATTTATGTGGTGTGTCCTGCAGAATCAATTTGTGAAAACTGGAATAGATTCTTCCATATCTGTTATTAAGGACAACAAATAGTAAGTTTTCAGTCATGGTGATTACAATTAAACCATGAAATAACCTGTTTCTAAGCTGTGACAGCACTAATTGAACTGCCTCTTTCAGTCAGCTCCTCTGAGACCAACACGTATTACTGGTTTGGGAAAAAATCTGTTCAAAAGAACAACAACAAAAAAGCCACATAAAAACCCAAAACCAACATCAAAACCCCACCAAAAAATCCTTTTAGACATCAAAACTAAATAAAATTGGTGACTTCAGAGAACTGCAGTTCATATCTCTGAAAAGGCAACAGCTAGTAATTCTTAGGCCAAATACTTGAAATTGTCTCATATTTTTTATGCAAATGCTTTTGTTTCATACTTCTAAAAGTTTGACTTTTCTTACAGGTTCCTGAGCCCTGAATTTATACCTCCCAGAGGGAGAAAAGATCCTCTTAAATACTACATAGAAAGAAGGGATATGATACAGAGAAGAAAAGTTTTCAACATCCCAGAATTCTATGTTGGTAAGTGTCAGCACTAAAACTTTTGTGATTCTGGCAGTATTTTACATTGTGTGGGGTGTGGTCATATGTAGAATAGCATAAAACATGAAGTCTCAAGTGTGTTAGATCAACTGGATGTGTTTCTATATGTAACACTTCATATTTTAATCTCATATTTACATCCTGATTAATTAAAATAGTAATCCTAATGTGATCCTTATGTGGATATTTTTCAATCCTGGCACTTGAGCATATGGTTTACCAGTAGAGCTAAGGAAAAAAAATACATTAGATTAATTATATTCAATTTGGATTGGGAAGAGCAAAAAATAAAGGTGAAGAAAGTTTGCAGTTAACCTGCAGTATCAGGCTATATTAATTCAGGTCACCTTTGCAGTTTTTTCTGTTTCTGGCAGTTTTGATGGGAAGCAAAAGTATTTTCAAAATGCACCTGAATTGAGACACTTTGCCTGATTCCTTCCACATTTTGGCACATACTAACTGTTTATGAACACATTAAATTAACATACTAGCTATTAATTCTAATCCATTTTCTGGCAGGCAGTATACTGGCCGTGACGACTGCGAATCCCCTGGCCGGTGACAAAAGCAGCCGCTTTGTGGGGATCTGCATCCAGAGGGGAGGGACCGGGCTCGGCGCCACCTTTGTCCTCCGCAATGTCATAGAAGACCAAGGTGGGGCTGCAGATGTGCTAATTGTGCTGCAAGTGTGTGGTGGTGTTCACAGGGGTCCCAGCATGAGGGAAGAGATGAGAATCTTGACTCCAGTTTCAGAAGGCTGATTTATTATATTATAATATATATTATATATATTATATTATATATATTATAATATATATTATATATTTATTATATTATAATATATATTATAATATATATATTATATTATAATATATATTATAATATATATTATATTATAATATATATTATAATATATAATATAATATTTATTATATTATAATATATATAATATATATTATAATATAATTATATACTAAAATCTTACTAAAAGAATAGAAGAAAGGATTTCATCAGAAGGCTAGCAAGGAATAAAAAAGAATGATAATAAAATCTTGTGACTGACCAGAGAGTCCGAGACAGCCAGACTGTGATTGGCCATTAATTAAAAACAACCACATGAGACCAATCAAAGATGCACCTGCATTCCACAACAGCAGATAATCATTGTTTACATTTTGTTTCTGAGGCCTCTCAGCTTCTCAGGAGAAAAGATCCTAATGAAAGGATTTTTCATAAAATGTCTGTGACACAAGTGTTCAGCAAAAAATGTGCTATGTTGTAGAAATTGAGTCTGTGGGGAGGAAAACAGCAGATTGAAGTGAAAGTATGAATCTGCCTGTTGGAGTAGTGTGCAAGTTTAAAACTGAGTACACAGAAATGCTGATATGCTCTGTACTTGAAGGTACGGAATTGCACAGTAATTTTTAGACATTTTGTGAAGGTTGTGCTTATGTCTGAGCCTGGGTTGTCTGTTACCATGTTAATACCAGCCCAGTTTGAGCACTGTGTGTTTTCATGAACTAGGGATGTAGGTGTGAACTGTTTTAATAAGCAACAGATTAGAAGAGTTTTATCACAGGTTCATATTCTGGATTATGACAAAATCAGGGGCAGTGCAAATAGTGGAGTTCTGAGGGCAAATATGAAAGGGGTGGGTGTCTCTTCATACACACTACACCTACACTGAGGTGCATGAATAACAGCCATTGTAACCAAAAGGAAATAAAGTTGAAAACGCAAGCTCATCTTCCTTAAATTAATTCAAGTCTCTTATACAGAATGGCTTCAAAGATTTGATTTACAAAGAAATGTGCAGCCACAGTGCACAAGTACAATCACAACTGCACACAGCACTGCAGTGCTCTGAGGACTAAACAGCAGTTTGCAATGATACAGAAATGTGTAACTGAAGCAATTCTGCTCCTGAATTGGTTGCATTAAAGCAGGCTTTCTGTCTCTAAGGGGTTGAAATCTGTTATGAACTGTACAGCCCTGGCATCCAGGCCATCGAGGTGCTGAAGCTGGAGAAGAGGCTGGATGAGAACCTGATGTACCTGCGGGACGCCCTCCCCGAGTACAGCACTGTCGATGTCAACATGAAACCTGTGCCTCGCATGGAGCACGAGGAAATCCCTGTGAACAAGGTAGGAGCCACGTGTGTCAGGGGCAAAGCACAGCATTGTTTACAGCTTCTATTTATGACTTATCCTGGCAGGTTGGAGCAGCTCTTTGCTACATCAGGGTGACAAAAGTAGATAAAATCTTGCAAGTCTTTGTGCTATTTTCTATAATGAAAGAATGGTGAGAATGTAAACACCTACCATCCTCTGGAGTTCATTTTGAAGATACACAAAAAGGAGCAGCCTCCACATTCCTCTGTAGAACTGTGCAGAAGGGAAAGCTTTTCTTACAGGAATGTTTTTGTTAATGTAGTTAGTGATTCAGGAGTGCTTGGTGTCAGGAAGCAAGGTAAGAAAGATGGAAGAGTCACCTAAAATCTGCATCTTGGGGAAGATCCAGAAACCATCAGACCCTGCCAGTGTTGTGTAGAAACTCAGTGTGGCAATTCCTCCCTTTCCCTCTCGTGCTACTTTTATTTTTTTCTTAATAAGGGGCAAAACTAGAGAAGATGAGTTAGCTTCAGTTTATGTTTCAGTTAAGGACTCTGTGATAAATCAAGACAGTGTTAATTAAAAAGTGTTACAAGATACTATAATAACAATCATAAATTAGTAGTTACTAAATACACTGACAGATTCGTCAGTTTTCTCTTACTTTCCTCCTGTTAGAGCAGCAGTTGTCACCTTTTGCTAAGATAATAAAAAATCTACTCTCTTAGTACTTTTTATTGTTTTGGGGTTTTAAAAATTTTTAATCTTTCATTCTAGGTGCAGGTACGAATGAAACCTAAACCATGGTCAAAACGGTGGGAAAGACCCAAATACAATATAAAAGGAATCAAGTTTGAGCTACCAGAACATAAAATGAAAGCAGCACAGAAATGGAGCCAGCCATGGCTGGAGTTTGACATGCTAAGAGAATATGATACTTCAAAAATAGAGGAAAAGATTCGGAAAGAACTGAGTGAAGAACTTGAAAAATAATGGGTTTTTGCAGTCTAGAATTCCTGAGAAAATTAATATTTTTAGTTTACTGTATGGATGATCAGTTGTCAAGTTTTGTATATAGATGGGCAAAGCAACAATAAAGTTAACCTTTCCAGATTTCAGCATGAACAGATTTCTGTGGCTCAAGTGTCCACTGCCCTCTCAACGCCTACAAGTCATTACAAGGAATCTTTCTTCCAGAAACAAACATCTACAGAGCTAAATTGTGACAGAACATCAATTACATATTTGTCATGGCACAAGGCTGGTGCTAGAGACAAGCTGGGATGAGGCAAAGCAGAACAAGGGAAAAGCAATGAGATCATGAGCTTGTGGTGATTGCTGATCAGCAGTTGCATTTTTGTTGGCATTCTGAGATGGAAAACAGCAGAAATTGATTATTAGAAAGCATTTTTTGCAACATAAGTCCTGAAGCTGCTGTAAGTTAGTGGAGCTGGAGGGGCTTTTTTTCATACAACTTAAAAACATTTTGTCACATGTTAAAGAACTGAGCTGTACGAGTCATTACCACAGTAAAATATTTTATTTTCAGAAACAAAGCAAATTATTTTTAATCTTTCTTCTGTAATACTGATCAAACCTATTTACAATTAAAATATTTTACAAAAATATCTTTTTAACTTAAAAAAAATATAAAAAGAAGGCATAAAGATTAAGTCTACAAGAGTTAAATTCTATTCCCAGAAGATTTTGGAGAAATAGTCACAAACATAGATTCTGTGATCCATTACAGTTTTTACAATGAAACATCCCTGTTATTCTGTAGCAATATTTATTGCAAATATACAAAATTACAAAACATTAGAAATAATATCCTAATAAGGATGAAGAAGTAAAGTTCTGTAGAGCTTACTGGGAAGCAAAGGGAGATTTCTAGAACTCCAGTTACTAGAAAGTAAGTTGTTCTGTTATCACAGTGTCTGTGATGAAAATCCTGATTCTTTACCTGCACACTGACCGCCCTTGTTTCTGTATCAGGGGCATCATGAATCCTTTTCACTAGGAATGGCTGAACAATAACCCCACCAAAAATCCCTGTGGGCCACAAGTCAGAAGAGCTCAGTGACTGCTGAGTCAGAATGGTATTTGGCAATTAATACTGAAAATAACCTGTCAAGCTGTCTGCTGGCCAGCAGTGGTGAAGTTCACAGGCACAAGTTTGCAGGATTCCATTCAAGAAGGATACAGCACTAAAGCACTGTCACACATTTTAGAATGCCTGAACCATTGCTTTGACAACTGCAATTTCTAAATATTCCCTAATCTAGGAGTAGATGGCTGTAAAAGACATTTTGAAAAAACACCTCATGTATTTAATACCAAGAGAGTGACTACCACTACCTCTGAGTAGGCAGGATCCACTAATTAAATTTCATATTAGAACTGGTTCACTGTGGCTTGTTTCAGTAATGTAAGCATTCCTTCAAAAGTTTCTATTTCCCAATCATTGCTTTAAAGTGTTCAAGCTTATGCTCTTCAATGAAGTCTTCTACAATATGCAAAGCTCCAATTTTCACCAGCAGGAGAAGAACTTCTTTTGTTTCATCACTATTTAAGAATAAAAAAAAAATTAAAATATAGCAGCACTTTTATTAACCTGTCTAAACTATAATTTTTGTTTCCTGATCTTGGCTACTCTGATCATCAACAGCACACAATGTCAACCATCTCAAACTCTCACAGTAAACAAGGACTGCTCAAGTGCTCCTTCATGTTAGACTCCATCTTTTCTTTTAGGTATATATATATATATATATATATGTATATATGTATATATATATATATATATATACATACACATGACATGAGCATACTTTAAAGTGTCAAATATAAGGTGTTTAAGGAATTTTTAAAAATTTTAACACAAAGTATTTGGGGAAGCACTTGAATCTCAAGGACAGCCTGATCCATCACCTGTGGTTGTCCTTGTGTAGCACACAGGCACATTGCAGCAAGTGCTGGCTGAAGTTCAGTAATTCAGGGAGAGTTGATCCACCCTTGAGATCTTGGAACCATCTTTCTGGGAGGCATGCAACCACCTGTTAACACAGTATTTGGAAAAAGTTTAACAAGCATTTCAATACAACCAAGTCACATTATTTCTGACAGGAACCTTCTGGCAGGTTCAGTCATTGTTAGCATGTTTTTTCCTTTAAACCAACATTGATTATCTCTCTAAGTAGTTATGCTTAAGAACCTACAGACAATATTTGCTCTAAAATGGTCTTATGCAGCAAGGTTGTTAAAAGAAAAAAAATAAAATAATATTTTATATGTTTACATTTTCTTTGTTTTTAAATATTCCATCTTCAGTTGGAATTCAGTTTTGACCCCTCTTCATGAAAAACAAAAGGCTTTGAGCATACACCCTCCTGGAACGAACATTATCTTTTACCTTATTACACTTTTTGATGGTATCTGGCCCTAGAGGTGTGTTCAGGATGTTCAGCAGAAGGTAACGATTCAGCAGCTTGCTCAGGCCCAAATCACGGACCTTGTCTTCCTGGACAATCCCATCCCAAAGAACAACGTTGGAGAGCAGCTGCAGTAATGCAGAAACAAAGAATCTGTAGAGCTGCTGGCTCTAAGTGTGCCAAAACTCTTATAAGTTTCATAAAAGAAAAACATAGAAAGGTAATACGTGCATCCAGTACAAATCCTCAAACTCTAGAATTTACACTCTTCAAACTTCTGGTCAGTTAGCCACTAATAAACTGCATAGAGTACATAACCTAATTAATTTTACAAGTGCATCTATCTGTATGTCTATACATGACCTCCCAAGGGTGGGAAGAAACTTTTACCCTTCTAGGGGGTTTAACAATTTGCTAAGTACAGAAGGCAACTAAGCAAACTGTCAGAGAAGCAAAGAGAGAAGTGAAAAAGTTACATCAGCTGCTCAGGACAAGACGACACACAGACTGTCCCTCATGACATGATGATGCTACAGTTTGTGGCATCACAAAGGTTTTTTTGTAGTTCATCAGTATTATTAGGCACTGAGGGTTTTTTCTGTTGCCTCTATCACTATAAATCCTTACAACTGTCATTTTTGAGTCTGGTGTAAGGCTGTGTTTGTGAAGGTAAAACACCTTGAGGTTAAGCTACCTGAAAATTAACCTGCTCTGAGCCAAGGAGGAGGACAAGCAACATGAATAGCAGGAAAACTGAAATATGGTCTGGGATGTTAATGTTTCCAGTGAAATGAATTTGAGAGAGGACAAACAAAACAAATCCAGCCCTATTTTCTCTACCTTAACAGCTGACCAAAACCGTCTCTCTTGAAATTTTGAACGTAGTGATGACTTGTCTTCCACAGTGCTGGTCATGGGAAGAAAAATAAAAAGTTAAAATAAAGATTATTTTTTGCTGGATTTAAAGGAAGATAAACAGATATCTGATCTCTCAGACATGGATGTCTACAGTATTTCATCTACATCTGCAGGGGACAAAGATAGAGGAACCAAAAAAAAATCCAAACTGAAGACAGCCAGAGGGTTAGCTTACCTTTTAGGATACAGAGGAATAAAGACATCTTCCTCTACAGATTTCTTCATTCTTAGGACAACCGTGTTCATCAAATCCTATTAAAAAAGAATTATTAATGTGTCCTCAGAAGAAAGCCTTCATATTCCATTTGTAACAAGCTCAAAGGTTATTTAGTTCATCCAGAGGTCTGATATCTTAGAGATAAGTGCAGCTGCCATTTGTATATAACACACATTGAGACCTTGAATAAAAAATAGAAACAGCAGACAAATCACAGCTGTAATTATCCATAGGCTTAGCCTAGAGGGTTTTCCCTAAGCTATATCCCTAGGTGAGGCCTGTTTTTGCACATTAATCTGCAAGGCAGCAAGAAAACTGTACAGATCAAAACCAAAGCAAGTTATACACATGGATCACCATTAAAAGATGTTAAATTCTATGTAAAGAAAAATCACCATAGCTAGGATAGCATGCATTTTTGAGCAACATGTTTTCAGGTGCCATAGATTGCCACCTAGCTTTTTTTTTAAGCCTATTTATTTAAGTTCTTGCTAAGATCAGTTGTATCACTTGACTTTAGGCCATGGTTTCAAAACAGCAAACTTTGGAAGGCATAAACATTTTCTTTAAAATATTTCTTTTCATACTCAGGGCCCAAACATCCATCCCGTTTCAGCACTTAATCCATCCCATTTTCACTAGATAAACTTCCTGATTTAACATCAGAATAAATCCAGAATCAGGCTAAGAAAGGCTTCCTAGAGAGACTGTGTATAAAAAAGTAATTATTAAAGGATTGCTAGGATTACATAGTAGTTTTCCTCCTCACCAAGTAACCAACCTTAGGGGATTCTCAAGTTTTAAAATTCTAGGCCTACTTTATAAATAAAAGCTTAAGGGATGCACCACTGAAGCAATACTAGCCTATAAAGCTCAAATTTGAAAAGATAATTAAATGCAAATCATTGTTATTGCAGTGAGGGAAGATTAGACCTACAAACAGATTCTGGATAGATACAGGCAGAATTTTTCTACTGACAGCAGCTGATTTCTGCCTCATCATCTTCAACAAGGAGAGCATCAGAGAGCTGGAAGTTTAACTGTTAAATCATCTAAGTGGCAAAACAAAAAAGAAATCAGAACCAAACAGCTTCGGGAGAATGTTCTCAGTGCCCACAGGAGCACACATAGAAGTACACAGTGGGTGAAGTTCCCCTTTCTCGGTACCACAGCTTTTACCTCTCTTGCTCGGCTAGACTCGTTTTTGGCAAGGATTTGTTTTCCAAAGATGTTATTGCAAAGCTGTACAAGGTTCTTTGTCTGTGAAGTAGATAAAGGATCCCACACGCTCTTCACAAATGCTGAAAAAAACCAGAAATTTATTTCATTCATAATATGCAAGTTACTTATCTGCCCCAGTTTCAAGCCATTACAATGTAACAGAAGTAAACATATAAAAAGCTCAGCCTCCCACAATAATTTTGAAGAGGCCACCTCAGCCCCACTCTGTGGAACTACACAATCGTTACATCTTAGAGCACTGTGATATCACCAACGTTATTTGATATTATCATTTTTATTTAAGGTTTGATTGTGTAGCTGCAGTGAATGATTTCAATACAA